CATCCATCTGGCTCTGGCTCTCCTGCGACTACTGGCTCTGGCTCTCTTGCTACAACTACTAGTGCTAGCTGTAAAGAAAATTGAACGGCCAAGACCAGGCTTCCAAAGAAACACGACTTTCGTGCTCAGCTGGATGCCCTGTTCCCAACCTCTGGTGACATGAGCGCAGACTTTGTTCAAAACTTTGATCGCTTGCATTTCCGGCCTTTGGCTCTATCTACAATGGCTTTACAGGACCGTGCTCATCTGCTCTGGCTAGCATTTCAGAGCAAGCTCCTAGGATCAATGGAAGCTGCTGAGGCAACTCTGGAGTCTGGTGCCTCACTTCCGAACATCAACAGGATCAAGCAGTTTGTCTTCTTTGCTGTAAAGACTGGAACATCAAGACTACATATTTCAGGTGTGACTGGATGGAGTTATACAACAAATAAGGTGTTTGTAGGGGCATTATGGGGCATGGTAAATTGAACACCTCCACACATATATGCACTAATTCTGCATTAGCTGCATCAACACGGTGTACAAGTACCAACAGCAAAGGATCGTGACCAATTAAATCAGGTAAGCATATTGATGTCTATTTGAGCTTGAGTAATGTGACTTGCTGATAATCTCAATCCCTAGGCATTGCAAGAGTGGGCTAAAAAGGACTGCGTAATTGATACTCATAAGCAAACAGAGTATATGCGAGCACCATTGCTAAGAACTTCAAGGTGTGTTCTTGTTCTTAAATGATATAGCCAGTAGCAAGTATCCTAAGTTATATCACAAGTGGCTACAATTAATGGCAATCCTCGCATTCACCTATCAGCAAGGTACATGTATCGGGTCCCTTGTTGAGGCAAGGCATTACGAAGGTACTGGTCAGTGCCTTAAATGGGGTGTAAGTCATTAATGCTATTTATATGCTATGTTGTTAATTATTATTACTAGGACATAGAGTTTGTTGCCTTCCAGTGGGAAGAAACCATTGGTCTTGCCATACAATCATTCATCACACTTCATTGGAACAAAGGTCAAAGAATGGTTGACTCAAATAAGTAAGTCCTCCCCTTGACATTCCATCCACTGTCAGCTCAGCTCAACCATTGCTGTAAAGTGTTTGAACATCATCTAGATCACTCAACTAAGTGAATATCCACTTGGATGTTGAACTAATGCTATTAGCACTTGGCATAACACAGGACATCTTCGAGACTGATGTTCTGGCAATGCATAAGGAATGCCCTGTCAGCCAAATGCCCATTCTAATCAAGATCAAAGATTCAGCTAAAGATACACCAGTTTGGCAGTCAGGAAATGAGCAAAAGCCATGGACAGCAGCAGGCCCTAGCAACCTTCTCAAGAAGCTGACGAACGAACTTGGCTGGCAAAGTAAAGTCTCCATCTACTACCATTCAAATACAAAGCCATACACTAAGCTGCCCTGATAGATGCTACATTCTGATCTTGTAGGTAGGCATTTGCCAGAGGGCTATCTGGGCGAATATCAGATGTAAGCCTAAGCAAGGCTGACATGAGTGTTAAGGCTGACCTAACATTTGACAACAAAATAGCACAACCTCAAGTACTTGATGGGCCATGGTCTTAACACAGACTTGGCATATACAATCTATCAAGTGCATGATCACCCTGTAGATGTCATCTCCTCACGCTACGCTGATGAAGGGGGTGAATATTTGGATGTCACCGACCTTCATTCATCAGTCACTTGGGATCAGACACATGCAGACACATTAGATGTTCTCAAAGAAACTTCTGAGAAAGACATTTTCTCAATCCAAGCTATTAGAGCATATACCCTTGCTGAGCAGCAGGTGTTTGAGCATTTTGGGTCTATGTTAAGGACTGTGTCAAGGGGCCTCCTGACTCATCCGTAAGGGGCGTGGGAACGTGCGGGGAGCGCGGGAGCGCAGACGAGCGGAGCACACGGGACTTGGCTTCAGCTTTGATGCTGCACTCTCCTAGCCCTGCAGTGTCCTGATTTTGGTAGAAGCATAGGTGAGAGGCAGGCTCCGCGGAGGAGCCCGCAGCGAAGACAAGAAGGTAGAAGTGACGGGAAAGGAACTAAGATTCAGAGTAGAGAATACATGTGTACTAATGCTACTATAAATACTAGCTAACATGTGTACAAGGTGAGGCTGGTAAGTAAGCAGCACATGTATATGAAACATGTAACAAGTGAATCTAAGTACTGCGCACCATGCATAAGCCTCGAGGGCAGAGCCCGAGGGATTCCAAAGGGCCAAGTATCCGAAAAGGGGCGTAGGGGGGACCCATAAGGGGCTTGAGGACTGGTATATGACAGTCTAGAACATGGACTCTAGATGAGAGCACAAGTCCTTCTTGTTTCTCAAAGTTGTTTTCTTGACTGATGTTCCAGAGATAGTTACAGGATCATGTAGATGTATTTGCAAGCAATGACACTTGGGGGCTGGTCCTCGTTCACTACAAACAAATCACAATACAGGTATGTGCTGTTGCCTTATTTTTGAGGCATATAAACAAAATCACATCATAGAATATGTCCCAACCAACGATAACAGGGCTACAGCCCATGGCACCCATTGAAGGAGGAGGGTCATCTGACATTTCTGAAGAATCAATTCTGCAGGGGCTCACAGCAGCCTCAAAACCAATCCAGATGATGGTTCAGAACACAAACAACAATAATCCACAATTCACCATATTACAACAGTACATTTCTCTCATTGCGATAGACCAAATCCAACTCACAGATGGTAAATGCTTGACATGTTATTTTGACCCAGCCTCAACAACAGAAGTTGCAAACAAATGTCACAAACAACATGTCACCCAACATGTGTGGTCCTGCGAATTCTCAAAGTATCCCAACACTTGGCAATGTCCTATCTGCACTCAGCATATCCCAGTCGATGACAAGAAAGTGGACTATTCTCCAGAAGAACATGAGGAGATTGAGGAAGTATTTGACACTCACTGTAAGGCATGCTTCAACACCTTTTTGAACAGAGACGTCGAAGGGAAATCAGATTCAGAGTCAGATGGCGACGAGGAGGCACATCCCAGTGCCTCAAATAAATTTGGGTGAGTCTTAGCTACTTTTGAACCAAGATTTCCATTTACAAAGTCATCATGGCAGGTCAACAAGACTACTTTCTGTTGCATCCTCAATAGCTGGGTCACAAGCAAAACTCAGCTGTCTCTTTTGTCCAATATGCTTCTTCAATGAGAATAAGCCTTGGAAACAGTGTCTTTTGTAAGTCAATTCTGGTTGCTTTTATTCGTTCTGACTTCAGATGTACTAGTTTTACTCAAACCAGCCCAAAGCTATTTAATCACTTGGTGTCGCACTGGTCAACCCCAAAGACCATGCAGAAGAACCAGCCAAGGATGTCAAGAACCACACTTGCAGAGGGCTCAGGACTACACAGACCTGCGGGGTACGTGGTTCCTCGTAGAGACGCAGGGGAAACGAGGGGAGCGAGAACATACAGGCTAGGCTTCAGCTACTGGCTGCGCCTCCCACACTCTTGCGTGCCCTGGATTTTGGGAGGGGTTTCTACGCGGGTACCAAGGGTACAAGTGGAGGCGAGGGGAGAGAGAGAGAGGGTCCTCAAGGAGAGGCGAGGATGTGAGTGCGGAAAGGAACTAATATTTGAACTAAGGTAACTGTAGGTACGGTACAAGAATATATACTGGGAAACACGTGGTGTCCATGCGTTCACAAAACAGCAACGAGTCTGGGATCAATAACTACAGCCAGCACGAATATGTACTAAGTCTGTAATCCGAGATGTCTGAGTAGCTGTGCATGCGTGCGGCCCGAGTCCATAGCCATAATGCATGTGAATGTGCCCCTAGTAGCCCCTAAGGGGCCTGCCAGATGTGCCTATAACAAAGGACAGGTATACTGTATGACATGGAGTTTACCTGTAGGTTCCCTCCTTGCACTGGAGAGTCCAGGTGAATTTCTTTGTGGTATTTGTAATCAGACACATTTCAACTGTCTCAATGTAGGAAAACTGATGCCATGATCACTCATCTGCATGAGGTCCACAAGTATCCACTGGTAACATGTGTACAAGCACACAAGCACTCAGATTCTTGTTCACTAGTCCTGGAACAAGAATTCTGTTATGATGAAGACGCAAGATTGGATTTCTTCATTCATCAAATTCCAACACCTCCAGTTGCCCTTGTAGACTACCAGAAGAATGATCTTAAGAAGTGTGTTCAGGCTGCCATTAAAGCCTGGGTCAAGCCAGCCCACAAGGGTGCCAATGCCGAGTCAAACAAAACATCTGCAGGCAGGCTTCAATGCAACATCAGGGATCTGTCCCCATCGCCTCCTCCTGAAGACTTGGAAACAAACACCCCTGGAATGTCTACATCAAGCATGATCATTGAGAGCCACAGGAGACAGAAGCAGATGAGAATTGAGTCGCCCATGTCCTCACCTTCCTAAATCCTCTTTCTTCTTCTTTCCTCACACTTATAATACTACAGCATTCTTCTTCGTATGACAGCATTCTCCATGAACTGTCTCTGTCTCCGGTCTATTCTTTCATAACTATTATACTTGTGCATTCTTTGTTCTCCATACAACAGCATTCCCAGTGGACAATCTCCAGTGTACAACATTCCCTGTTTCCAGTCTATGACTACACTACCAAGAGATGTAATACAGTGTTCTTCCTATCATCCTATCATGGAGTCTGATGTATAACACACATCACAGATATAAGTAAAATTGGTTTTGCCATGCACAAACATGTAGAATATGGTTTGTCAAGGGGGACGTACACATTAAGTATAGTTCGGCAATGGGCAGTATTGTGCTGAAAAAGGAGTTTGGAAAGGAGTGTAAGATGGAGGGGTTATCAATTGACTCTATGTGCAAAGCTACAGGTGCCAACGGCGGCACTCTAGTCTGTAACATGTACTTGATGAATTGACTAATTTGATTTAAACGTTGCCTGCGTGTCAGAGGTGGAAGTTCATGCAGAATTAAACATGAACCCTTGGCGCAGTGGTAGCGCGTGTGATTCCAGCGGCGCGGGCGGTCCGCCGTCTTCGAGGAACATCCACAAGGTCGTCCGTTCAATCCGGGCAGGGTTCAGATACTTTTTGTTTTGTTTCTTTTCATTGCCTTCTCGTATGTCTACGTTCCGCGCTGGATGTTTTGCTTTCTGAGAGGTCCCTCAACTTCAAAATGTCAATGCAGAAGCACCTCCTGTCTCCTATCGTCTCTTATCGATCACATGCATGGTACCGCGAGACGTCCAACTGTTAGATCGAGTATCAGAATCAATGCATGCAGCAAGTGGGAGGCAGTAAAACTCGAATTTGGCCCGGAACCATTCATCGATCACCATCAAACTCATGCTTGAGCGTTCTTTCCTCAAGCCCACAGCCCAATATACGCCATTGAGGCAGTTGACTGTTACACGCGCAGGCCATGAGGCTGCCGCGCTGATAAAGAAGGGGCTCAACGGAACCAAAGAAACATTGAACCCCCATTTCCCTCCGCCACTGCCGCGATGTCCATAACGTTGACCCTCCCCGTAGAAATTCTAGAAAACATCGACATTGTCACCACCCAAGCGAACCAGATAACCAAACTCCGGCTCCAATTGGAGGAAGCTAATGTGAGTACCGAACACACATGCGAATCTTGTATTGACATCACACGCGCGAACAGGCTTTGAATTCTACGATGACCCAACGTCTCATGGCGGCGGAGGCGGAAATACGATCTTTGAAAGATCAGGTGTCTAAATTGCGCCAGTCGCAAAATGTGCCGAAACCCCAGCCCGTCGTGATCAAACCATCCACCAGCACGACATCCTTGCGACCGACGGTGTCCAGGAACCCTGCATCTGAGCCGACTATCATCAAGGTGCGTGTTTCGCGACAGTGCCAAGATACCGGACTGACTCTGTTTCGCAGGTACAGCCCAGCCAGAAGGCTGACGGAATCGAGCCGGATGTTACTTGGAAGCAGACCCTGAAGAAGAAGATTGAAGACGAGCTTCGTCCGATGGTCAACGATGCTAAGGAGTCCTACGAGACGAAGCTCAAGAAGTCGGATTCGCAGGACACCATCACTCGCTCCAAGGCTTCTATCGAGTACAACACTTCGATGGCAACAATACGTGGGCTAGCATCGGAACAGTTCCAGACGGCACTCGAGAGGGAAAGACAGGAGCGGAGGTGGGCTGCAGGGTTAGAATTGTCTCCCGAATGGGGAGAAGCTTTGATAGCAGAACAGCAGTTACTCCTGACGAAGTTCGCCGCTGAGGTATTTCCCATCCCGATGTACCCGATTACTGGAGATGCTTGCTGATACGACGTTTCTCCAAGCGGCGGGCGAGTCAGAATCGCGATTCAAGATCTTCCGCGTCTAATTGACCACTGCTTCTATTGCTCTCCGTCATGACCCCTTCGACGATCTCCATCAACGACCATCATTCCTACGCGTACTTACAGATTAATGGTCTATATCTACTTTACAGTCTCTACGATCAGGCAATCGCCTACATACATACCCGCTCAGGTAGCTTGCATCTGTACTGGTATCTCGCGTACATCTGTTCGACAATCATAACACTTATTCTCGAAATTATGCTCCGAGCCAAGTCTTGTGCCGGTATTATCGCCCAATACGGTATCTCGACTAATACAGCGAACAAATTCCCCGGAATGTTCCTCCGTGCGGCGGATGAAGTCCTCATACAATTATAGGATTGTCCTCGTCGTCGTTGCGAGAGACGGCAAACCTCAGGCCTGAAGTAACGCCCCTCCTTGCACCACCTTCAAAGGTCTTAAGGTCCATCCGGCGGGTGTCCCCAACCTGTCCGTGAAAGCTTCGGCGGAGATTGAGAAATAATCGGCTTGAAAGCGTGGAATGGAGGGCAACCTGCGTGCTTGTGCGCCGCGAGATGTAAGCGCCAGTGGGTCGTACACAATGTTGGGAGTTGAACACATACGGGTAGAACAAGTTGATGAATTCGACCTTCAGATTACGCAAATCAGGGGATCCCATTCATTTAAAGAAAAGAACGGTTTTACTGACGGGTTGGGTCAGGCTGACGATCATATTGATGATAGATATGGCTGGCGAAATTCGTCAGGTTCTCTCTCGATATACAGTAAGACATACCAAGTAGCACAACGTAGTATACGAACCCTAGAAGCATCAGGTGTATGAGCGGATGTCGTAAACATGGAAAAGGCACGCACCGTCTTCGTAGAAAGTATACATCATCGAGGAGATGGGCATGGACGAGTCTGTAGAATAGATGAGATGGCGGTGTCGCCCGTATTGTGATACCCACAAACTCGGACACCATCAAAGGCCATCAGCAAGAAGATAACTGCATCAGGGTGCTTGAGGACGACCAGCCGTCACTGAATGGTGCAACGGCTTACCAGTCTCATGGGTCAATACAGTGATATAAGAAGTCGCAGAAGCCGTACGATCGTCCCCGACGGTTGCACAGCCAGGATACGAAAGCGACGCCTTTGCATAGTCCGTCAGATCTTGAAAGCTGTGGTCAGTATAACTACAACCAGAATCAGTCATCCGGCGACAAGCGACTCACATAATTCGCTTCGGTATCCTGTCGAGATATCCTTGAATCCAAGGGCTATCCCAACAGTACATAAGCAGCCTAGCATGATTGTTACCCAGCGACGTTGATGCCATAAAGCCCATACTCGGAGTGTTAGGATGTCTTTGTATTACACTAGCATCAAGTCTGCTTCTTAAGTGTCTGGATCGACTCACTTTCAGCGGCTATCACAGCAAGGATACAACTGTCTGGAATGTGTTTCAACGGTGTGCTCCGCTGGAAAGACGGACGGACGGACGTACAGTGCAGGATCGTGTTTGACGCCCGGCACTCCGCTTCGGATGCGTTGTAGCTGGCAATCCCTAGAGAACATAATATGAGGGGACACTAACATGGTTTCAAGTATACGGAGCGACATACAACGTAGTTCCGCCAGGAAGATGACGATGATGAAGTATTTTGAGGACAAATACAGCACTTTCCCCAGGGACCAATGGGTTGGCCACACGTATTGAATCTCATCTGGCAAAGTCAAAAAGTAGTCATACACCTAGTAGGAGAATCCGTGAATATACATAGGTGACTCATGCTCTGAAGTACGACGTACAAGGATGACGGCGCTGGAAACTTGAGGCAAAACGACTGAGTGTACTGCGCTCTAGTAAACGAGAGTGATCAGGCTGACCTGCAATGTACTACCGAATACCTAGGTGTTAGGTAGGTTATGGGACGTGAGGCGAGGACCAACTCACTGTCCCCATCTTCGCCACAAAAAGAACAGAAAGGTCAATAACGAAATCAGGCATGGAAGTCGCGGGGAGGAAGAGATCGAGCTTCGCTCTTATACTGCAGACTTGAATCACGAAGATCGCAGCTCCATCTTCTCCTTTTATTCCATGGAGTCGCCCCGAACCAACCAGTATGTGATACATTGCAATCAAATTGCCGGTGAATGGAACATCGTCTGATGGCGTGGCGAGGTATTTAAGTCGGACGTCTCAAACATGCATATGAGACCGAGAAAGAAAATCGAAATCGTTGTCTTGAAGCCAGTCGTTCGCCTCGAGGAGCTTCTTTACCACTCGCTGTCCGTATGTTGTCTGCTGTCATGTATTTCCGGCTGCGTATTCATGAATGTGCCTCATGGAGGAACGAGCAAACATGGCACCGAGGCCCGCCACTAACCGCCTCCGAAATCCCAATTGTACGCTAAACCGTTCTTGAGTGGCCAGTCGGCATGTCGGCGCGCGGAAAACGCTAAGTGACCCTCCGGGAGTAACACAAGATGGGAGACGGGGAAGAGGTGTCGCCGAGCTAAGTTACCTGGCCTTCGGCGGCGCAAGTGACATTATTTGATGGCGTTGGCTGTTGGCGTACCAACATTCCGAGCCCGGAGGCGAGATATACCAATTTTTCTCGTATTTCACGTAGAGCCGCGAGCAACTGGACAACGACTTTTGGGGAGACCTGAAGGCTTTAATCCCTGATTTTGTAGAGGATCATCAGGGAAGAGTGCGCCAGCAACCATAGAATTCGCGGAGCACAGTTGAATCACCTTTCATGGACCTGACGCGTCCAGCGCCGAATGGGACCGTAAAGCGAGTAGGGACCGTTCAGTCACCATCATTTCAAGCACTGACATTGTCAGTCACGTGGCGGTCGCGTCCGTTCCCAATTAGTCGACAATTGTACACCAGCATCCACGTACCACAACATGCCCTACTTGGCGCCTTTCGGTTCTCCTCCAAGTCCTCACTGCGGGGCGACTCCAGATCACTTACAACGACCGAAAGAAATGCCTTCCTTGACCAAGCAGCCAGGCACGTGCGTCAACTTCGATGACCTCGAGGATACCGGCAGTCTACCTGGATAACGATGTTGTATCGAGCCATGGCAGCAAGACTGGCGGCGAGTATTGCATCTGTACTGGTACCTCGAGTACATCTGTTCGACAATCATAACGCTTATTCTCGATTATGCTCAAAGCCACTGGGTCTCATGACATTATCATTGGAGCATGACCGTCGTGCGCACTACCGTATCTCGACTAATCTAGTGAATAAGTTCCTCGAAATGATTCATGCAATTATAGTATTGTCCTCGTCATTGTCGTCGCAATTGACCGCAAACCTCAGGGTCGAAGTACTAAGGCCTCTACTTGAACCACCTTCAAAGGTTCTGATATCGATTCGGCGGGTCTCCTCAACCTCCCCGTCAAGGCTCTGGCGGAGGTTAAGGAATAATCGGCTTGAGAGCGTGGAATGGAGGACGACCTGCGTGCTTGTGCGCCGTGACATGTAAGTATCCGTAGTTCGTACACATCGTTCCGAGCTGAACACATACGGGAAAAACAAGTTAATGAATTCAACCTTAAGGGTTATGTGAATGAGGAATCCTGTCCGTTGTAAGAAAAGAGCGGTTTACTCACAGGCTGGGTCAGGCTGACGATCATGTTGACGATAGATATGGCTGGTGGAATTAGTGAGGTTCTCTCCCGATTTTATAGCTGACACGGTAAGTCCTACCAAGTAGCGCAGCGTAGTATA